GACACAACACCCGCGCTTTCAGATGTTCCAAAATCTCCTGCTTGAGAGCGGGGGTGCACTTCGCTCCCTGCGGGGGTCCGTGCAGCTCAGTGCACGCTCTGACCATAATTTGCTCTGTAGCGTTGGTGATTGCCGCGGCTCCAGTCCCAAAGCCACGAGCTTGCCCCAATGTCCCTGAGAACTCAGACAGGTCGTGCCCGACGCATCTGAATCGGACGAGTAGCCGCCCCTTCCGTTCGTCACGGAAAAGGGAAATTGCTGCACTTGATTTGATGTTCATGTCGCGTTGCTTCAGGGCCTGCTGCAAGCACCACAATATTCTACGGTGCTTTCTGTTCTCGAGGCCGCACCCATTGCCTACCAGCTTCACGACGTCCAGGAAGTCAGACTCGCTGGGGCATTGCAGAAACTCAGCCGATGCAGCCGAACTCTGCTGAGCCTGCATCTGCGAATGAGACGGAGCCAAACGCTGCTGAGCCTGCATCTGCGCATAAGCCGCAGCAGCAGCCCTGTGAGTTGGGTTCCGATCGTGCTTGGCGAAGTTGGCAGCCTGGAGCGCAGGCACAGACATAGCCTGAAAATTGCTGAACGGGCTGTTGATGCCTGCCCAATGGCAGCACGCGCAACCAACTCCTTTACCGTCCTTCCACTTGCTACTCAACCATGAACCAAGGTGAGGGCGGCCAGGATCCACCAGGAACCGCTTGGACCACTTAGGGTAGAGTCTTTTCCAAAGAGTCGCCGCGGCGAATCTGCTGTCGGATGACTTGCTGCTTTGCTTCGCCACCATAGCTACATCGGGGTGGCTGGCGGTAGCAATAATCGTTGTCGGCCGTGCAGACACATGAGACTTGAGCAAAAATGGTTACGAGAGATGGGATAAGGCGCGTGACAGTAAGAAATGGCATGGCCAGCAAGCTGGCCCATCAACAAACATGTACCATGGGTGGCGAGCCTACCCATCAACAAACCGCATCAGAGACGCCAAAACACAACAGGCCCCACTAGGGCCTTATTTATGTTAGCGGTCATTTTCCTTGGGGCCAGGTGCTGGAACTCCTTGACCTAAGAGCGACAGAAGGAAATGCAGCCGATGGGCCGGAACAGCCTGGGCCGATATCGCAAAACCACATGCGGTACAATCAAGTTGCACTCACCACTCATAGTGCAAGGGAAATGGCACCTTCGTCTTCGTCAGCCCGGCGCTGTGGAGCCCCTCCGACAAAATGGCGCCCATGGTATGCACGCTGACTGCGTTGCCGACCATGCCGCCGATCTGGTGGTCCGACAGGTTGAGCTCAGCCTGTGGAATGTCCTTCTTGGCGAAACCCTGAAGCCGCATCATCTCATGCAGCGTCACCCGCCGCCCGCGGCTGGAGACCCACGGACCTCCGTTCTGGCCACGGGTTTTGGTGAGGGTCCTGGCGATGTTGATCCCGTGCGTGGCGAACCTCTCGGAGCAGTCGACGTCGACCATCACTGGGGTCACGCGCGGGTCCACCCCCGTCTTCTTCTTGCAGACTTTCTTGTAGGCGGCCTTGCACAGGTCCCGGCTGCGCTTGCTGCTGGGGAGCCGACCTGCCACGTCGGTCGCACGCTTGGGCTCCAGGATGGAAGTCGCTGGAGGCGTCGCCTGCTTCTGCGGCCACGTGAACGGATGCATCTCGCTGTCCTGCCGCACGCCGACAACATAGACGCGCTCCCTCGACTGGGGAACTCCAAAGTCCTTGCTGTTCAGCTTCTTCACGTGAACGACGTAGCCAAGCTTCTTCTGCGCTTCCTCGATGCCCTTGAGGATGCGGGCGAACTTTTTGGTCATGAGGGTCGGGACGTTCTCGAAGATGGTCAGGCGGGGCCGTTTGTTCTTTATGAACTGCATGCTCTTCTTGATCAGGTCCCCCGTGCGGCGCTCGCCGCTGACGCCCTCCTGTTTGCCGCCAGCAGAGAAGTCTTGGCAAGGAGGGGTCCACACGTACACGTCGGCGTAAGTCTCCTCCGCGGCCGTACGCTCCAGTATGTTCGAGAACGCGTGCGCCGGCTGGTGGTTCTTCTTGATGACTGACATGCACGCCGAATCAGACTCGCTCACGAACTCGAGGGAATGACTGATGCCCATGCGCTTCATGGCCACGGACGCCGTCTCGACGCCCGAGAAATCAGATCCCAACTTCAGGACCTTCGGGCGCCGCGGCTGCCTCGGCTGCCCGCCAGCAGTATTCTTCACCCCAGCATTGACTGTCGTCTTCCCCATGTCGGCGACGCGGGGAATCGCGCGGGGGGAACAGGCGGGCAGGAAGAGAAGACACGATTGTGTATGTAGTATTATTGGTTCTGGCCGAAACAGCTGCAGATGAATCAAACCTTAGTTCGTCGCCCTCTGCTGGGGGGGGTCACTTTAAAGTGCTCCGGAACAACGTTTCCAGAGCACATTGGAATGACATGTCTGTAGTAAGTAAGAACGCATCTGCTTCCTCTTCGGCGTCGCAAGCGCCGTCGGGACCGCCAGTCAGACCACCAGAGCCCCTTGTAGAACGAAAGCCCCTGAGGAACGAGCCACGCGGCTCGCTGTGCAATTTGTCAACTCCACTGAGGGGGAACCAACGCGGTAGATTTCGGAACGCCGTAACTTATGATCCCCCCGCCGTCGCCCCCCAACAACGCGGCCCCCACGCGAACTGCAGGCGTGACACGGCAGATGGCGGAACGCCAATCCATCCTATATGTCTTGGATGAGCCCTCTGATGCGGCCCCGCTGGGGGGCCCGATAACCACATCAGAAGTCCAGAACACGCGGCCTCGTTGCTGGGGGCCTTGCGAATGCATTCGGCCCCTCCCCCCCCCAGCCCACCTGCCAAGCACCCAGTGATGATGAAGGCCCCCCTCCCACTACCAACGCCGCGCCCGAACGCATCCGCTGGCACCCCGCCACTGTCGCCGCCGCCTGCACCACCGCCGCCGCAGCTCACTGCCGACCTCGAGCTGCGGTAGGAGAGGTCTGTCGCGCAATTCGCCGACGGCAGCGAGCTGCGGTAGCCACCGCCACAGCTCGCTGCCGACCTCGAGCTGCGGTGGGAGAGGTCTGTCGGGCAATTCGCCGACGGCAGCGAGCTGCGGTAGCGGGGGTGGTCCGTCTGCACCACCGCCACCGCAGCTCACTGCCGACCTCGAGCTGCGGTAGGAGAGGTCTGTCGGGCAAGTCGCCGAGGGCACCGCAGCTCACTGCCGACCTCGAGCTGCGGTAGGAGAGGTCCGTCGGGCAATTCGCCGACGGCAGCGAGCTGCGGTAGGGGCCGGCGGCCCCTACTACCGCTGCTCACTGCCGACCTCGAGCTGCGGTAGGATAACTCTGACTGAGACGCCCCCTGTCGCGCGAGTCGCCGATGATGATGGGGGGTGGGGGGGGGGGGGGGGGGGGAAGAGGAGGGGGTGCGAATGAATGGCGGGCCCGTCGTCGCTCGCGGCCGACGCGCGCGTTCGTTGCCGCGGGAGCTGCGCAAGGAGCTTACTAACAGTCGTCTCTAATCGCAGCTCCCTGTCGCCAGGGAGCTGCGGTAACCAATGTTCGGGAGCATGTTGCGAGACGTCTGTTCGGGGGCCCCCGAACAGACGTCTCGCAACATGCTCCCGAACATTGGTTACCGCAGCTCCCTGGCGACAGGGAGCTGCGATCAGAGACGACTGTTAGTAAGCTCCTTGCGCAGCTCCCGCGGCAACGAACGCGAGCGTCGGCCGCGAGCGACGACGGGCCCGCCATTCATTCGCACCCCCTCCTCCCCCCCCCCCCCCCCCCACCCCCCATCATCATCGGCGACTCGCGCGACAGGGGGCTTCTCAGAGTTCTCCTACCGCAGCTCGAGGTCGGCAGTGAGCTGCGGTAGGGGCCGCCGGCCCCTACCGCAGCTCGCTGCCGTCGGCGACTCGCGCGACGACAGACCTCTCCTACCGCAGCTCGAGGTCGGCAGTGAGCTGCGGCGGTGCCCTCGGCGACTTGCCCGACAGACCTCTCCTACCGCAGCTCGAGGTCGGCAGTGAGCTCTGGTAGGGGCCGCGGGCCCCTACCGCAGCTCGCTGCCGTCGGCGAATTGCCCGACAGACCTCTCCTACCGCAGCTCGAGGTCGGCAGTGAGCTGCGGCAGGGGCCGCCAGCCCCTGCCGCAGCTCGCTGCCGTCGGCGAATTGCCCGACAGACCTCTCCTACCGCAGCTCGAGGTCGGCAGCGAGCTGCGGTGGCGGTGGCGCAGGCGGCGGAGCCCAAAGGCCTTGACCAATACTCGAAACAGAACCTCTACGCATAGTGAGCGCCATCTGTTGCAGTAAAGTGTCTGGGCGTGTTTGCGAGCATCATCTGTTGCAGTAAAGTGTTCGGGCGTTTTCGAAGCTATAAGGAGGGGGGGGGGAGGAGGGGATAGTGAGGAGGAGGAGGAGGAGGAAGAGGATGATGAGGAGGAGGTTGTCACGGCTATCCTGTGTGCTTTAAGTGCCTCTTTCAAATCCAGCGCCGAGTCCAACTCCAATCACGTCCAAAGCCGCGCGAACATTCCGATTGGAAAAGCACAATACATGGAAGCTCGAGGGCATGAGTGAGCCAAGGCGGGCGGCGGAAGCCATGCATGTTTTTTTGCAATGCCATCCGTCATGGTGGGATGCGCTGGTGAGGACAGAAGGGGCCTGGGGCTAGCCGAAACAGCCTGCCCGGCGTGCCCGCCGAATCAGCGATGCTAAAAAACGCGCGCAAATGCTGCCAGAAACCTATGTCAGCTTAGACGGTATTATTCTACAACAAACGCAACGCACGCAGCTACAAAAATGCCATCGTCCCAAAGCTTGGGTAAACCGATAAACTCACGCATCATCATCATAATCCTCATCATCATTGCGGGGGATGGGGTTCTGAACTTCAAACAGGGACATCTGATTGGGCCGATGACTACTACGGTAATGGCTGCTCTCAATCATCATGATCGCATGACTCGTCCTCGCAGGTTGACTGCACCTCAGCTCTAATCCTCCTGCAAAGGGTCCCAGAGCTCCTCGTCAGCGCCAGGCAGCCCTTCTGCCGCGGGATCGTCGTCGAACCCATCATCTCCTCCGGCAAAGCCGCCGCTCTGGCAACCACCGCCACCGCCGCCGCCGCCCTCCTGCTGGTCACCACCATCGCCGCCGCCGCCCTCCCCCGCGCCGGCGTCGGCCTCCGCTGCCGCGGCGGCGCCGGTGTTGCGGCGGCTGCGGCGCTTCGGCCCTGGCTGTACCTTCGGCGTCGGCGCCACCTCCTTGCCGACAGCTTTCGCGTACTCCTTGTTGAACAGCTTGGACCCAGGATCCGCCATCGCGCTCTTCACGAGCTCCGCCAGGTGGAGGTAGATTTTCTCCATGTGTTCTTTCGTGAAGGCCACCCCGACGTATGCGACCCTCTCCTCGAGACAAGCCCACGCGAATTTCGCGTTGAGCGGGGTCATGTCGAGGACGCATTTGACAAAGAACATGTGCAGCAGCTCTTTGTAGAAGAGAAGCGGCATGCCGTGGTAGGAAATGGGGACAACGGTAGAGTCGGTTTTCCGCTCGGCCTCGCCTTGAATGCCCTCTGTTTTGCCCCCCACCGCAATCAGATTGCGCTTCCCGTATATTGCCTTTTTGTCTTTCCACGTCACGTGCCATTCCTTGCTCAACTCTGGGAGCTCGATGCCGTTGATCAGATCCCCCGCGGTGCTGCCCTCGAAGTGCTTGCGGCGCCGCTCAGGGACCGAAATGCGCGAGTGCGCCAACATGTGCACCCACTCTACCTGCTGCAAGCTCCCCGTGCCTCCGTGAACCCTGTTGCGGCGCTTCTTGAGGCTCTCCTCCGTGTACGCGAGCTGGATGATCGAAGCTTTGAAGCCGGCCTTCTTCTCAGCGTCGCTGTTGTCGTCATCCTCCTTATCATCGTCATCGTCGGGCTCATCGCAGCCGCGCCCCTTGCTCGGCGGTGTATCCTTCTTCGTCTCGATGGTGTTCTCCTTCCACGGCCCGAGCAACTTGGTCGCGTTGCCCCTCCGCCCGCCGTCCAAAATCACTGCGACCTCCCCATTGCGGAGATGGGCTAGTTGCCCCTGAGGCGCCCTCGCGTTCAGCATCGTCCGCACGAGGCGGTGGTACGGGCCATCCCTGAGGGGCGCAATGCGCAGCTCAGGCCTGGTGAGCGGCTCGCCGAACTGCTTCACGTCGAAGTGGTACAGCACCAGCCCCGTGGGGTCACCCTTGATGGTGGCGAGCGCGGAGTCCCGGAGCATGGTCTCCAGCTCGGCCGCCGTTTTCTGGTCGGGCACGATCTGAACGTACGTGCGAATGAGCTTGTCGATGAATTTGTTCCAACTCGTTTTGTCCATCTCTGGCAGCTTGTCGAAGTTTTTCAACTCCGCGGGCCTGTCGCCCGCCACTGCGGTCATCTGCCCCGCAGGGTTGTCGGCCCCGGCAGCTGCAGGGGTGCCCGTGCCACTTCCAGCCGCGGCCGGCGTGTCAGTAGTACCATGCCCCCCATTGTTCTCCCTCCGCACCATCTCGATGACTTCGTTCACGCGCGTGGAGATCGATTCGTAGGCGAGAAAATCCGCCACCTCGAGCTTCGACTGGACGGCGTTCCTGTAGCGAGAGTCGAACTCGGTTGTGTACACCAACTCCTCGATGAGCGTGACAGCCGAAACAGCCGACTGCTTGCCACCAACACTAATCAGAGCCTGCCACGTGGTATCGACTACCCCCCCTGGGTAGGAACTGACGTACGTCCGCACCGCGTCGAAGGTATTCATCTACTCTTGCATCAATGTGACGTGTTCGGTTGGGATGCCAGTGCGCGGAAGCCACTTGAACAAGAGCTCGTTCTTCACGTCGTATTTCATGTTCAAGATTTCAACGTAGCTCTGCCTGTAGTCCCTGAGCTTGCTGACACCGAACTCGCCTAAGTTGATGAAGTCCTGGTGGTTCTGACCCCTCCCCAACGCTGATTCGCGCCGTCCCGCCGACGACGACGACGCGTCGTCGACGGGCTGGCGCGAGCAGCGATGGGTGTTCAGAACAACCCCCGGGGCGCCATGCGGTAATGATCCGTGAGGCCCATCATCGCCCAATCGATCTTGTTGGGGGTCGACGCGCGCTCGACCACAGCGTGCATCGCGTAGAGGCTATTCCACGGGGACTTGTTCATCAGGTTCTCGTCCGCCCAGACAAGGCACCGATTGGACGCCTCCAGGGACAGCAACCGCTTGTGGACTGTGATTGCGTTATCCACGAAGGTTTGTTTCACTTTTTCAGTAGACCGCGCATACTTCATCTTCTTCTCGTAGAGCTCGCTGACGTCCTTGGCGCCCAACGTTTTCTCCAGCTCTTTTTCCTTCGCCGCCTTGAACCCGACGATGTCGTACACCCATTGCCTCACGGTGAGTTGGGCTGTCTCCCCATGCTCGATCCACTCCTGCCGAATGTTCTGGGCGCGCCAATACCGCAGGTCACCTGGCAACACCACCTCGAACGTCACTGGCGCCGAAAGCACGACCTGCATCCACTTTGACAGGATGGAGTCCTCCGCCTGCTGCTTTACCGCGTCAGCGATGGCCATGAGCAAGGCCAGCTGCGGCTCGATTGGTGAGAGGCGCTGCAAACTGCCCAGGTGCTTAGTGACGTCCATGTCCGAGCTGTCCACCGCGAAGACGGTGTTCATGGGGAAGACATTTGGCGGGCTCTTAAGGTGGTAGTTCACGATCTCCCTGACCTGCCCCATGTTCACAGGGGCGCGGTAGCTGGAGCTCCAGAAGAAGTTCTGCCAGAAGAGGTTGCACCCACATGAGTAGGGGGATCCGCGGCTGAGGGCATCAGAACAATCCTCCTTCACGAACGGCGCCTGGCGACCGCCCTGGGCGATGGTCAGCGGCATTTTCTTCTCGAGGTCGGCGAAGAATGGCGACCCCTTGATGGCGTTCAAAGCATCGGTGATGATGTCCAGCGTCGGGCCCACGACTTGGTTGGTCTCCGGCGGCGCCTCCGGCTGCGCACCTCCTGCCGAACCAGCAGGGTCAGACTCCGGCTGCTTAGCCTTCGCCTTTGCCCTTTTCATGGGCGGGGGGGCCGAGGCAGCCCCCTTCTGCTCACGCTTGGCCGCCTTAGCGGGCATGACTGGCGTAACTCCCACTGCCAGTCGACGAGTCCACACGTTATGTTCGTTCTGAAGGGCCGCAACAGCCCGCGTCGGTACACACTGAACCAAAACGGTTGCGGAGATGGAAATGGAATTGGAGGAAGCGGAGGAGGGGGGAGGAGGAGGAGGCGAGCCGCAGGCGGGAGGGTAGCGGGGGGTCGACGATCGATCGACGGGCAGATCAGCAGCAGCGCTGACGACGACGACGACGAAAGAAGAAGGCGCAGGGCGGCGGCGAGCGAGGGTCGACGGCGGCGGCGACAGACGACGACGAACGCGACGACGGCAAGAAAGAGAGAGTTGGCCGAAACGGCCGTCAGGATCCGGCCGACGCAGCCGGCCTGGCCTTCGGCCGAAACAGCCAAAGTGGTAGAAATTGAGACGGGGCAGGGTTCCAAGTTCCAGAGCAGACCGACCATGGAAGGAGTGCGCGGACCAATCGACATGCCCAACCCACATGGGCCACTTGTTGTCCCGAAAGCGTTCCAGAGGCAGAATCTGACGTGGCCCAGATGTTCAGGCCCATCCCGAAGTAACTAAGAACTCAGAAAGCTCTCTTGGAGGCGCAGCTGACGCAAATCACATGCAGACAAAGAAGATGGGCGTGGCCAATAACCCATGGAGCTCTCGTGGAGGCGCAGCTGACGTAGTTGAACGGATGGGTGGGGGCATATGTCCCCGCCGCTGCAGGGGGCGCTGCTGGCTAGGAGGCCGCTGTTGCTGGCGGGTGGCCCCCCCTTCTCCTCTCCCCCCACTTCTCCACCCTCCAACCCTTCTCTCCTCCCCCTTCTCCACCCTCCAACCCTTCTCTCCTCGCTATCCCTCCTCGTCGCGGCCCTCCCTCCTCCTGCTGCTGTTGCCTCTCCCTCCTCCTCCTCCTCCTCATCCTCCTCCTCTTCCTCCTCCTCCTCCTCCTCCGCCTCCTCCTCCTCCTCCTCCTCCTCATTCGCCATCCTCATTCATTCATCGCCCTCTGATGTCTGATGATGGCGACGATGATTTTTCCACGGACGGGTCGAGCGCCGATCTCAGCATTCGTCTCGTAACTTGCGCACTTATAGCGAAGAGTAGCGTGCAACCCCCTGACTATACGGCGACCGCGCAGTCGTCACGTTGTTGACGCGCGCCCAGGTCGCAAAACTACAGGGGCGCTCGCTGGTCGAGCACACGACGCGGCAGTGCTTGTTTCAAGCACGGTGCTGCTCGCAAATAGTGTCTGGGTTCGACTCCTGCAACCTCTGGCAGCACACCCTGCACGCAAACCTAACGCAGTATGCGCCAGGCTGATTGCTGTTGCAATGGGCGCACATGGTCATCGCAGGCGCCGTGCGGACTCCTGCAGGCCTCGCGCCAGCTCCGAAGGCCCGTGCTCGAGCTAACTTCTTCAGATTCCAGGCCCTCGAATGCTGCGTGGCCGATTGCCAGCCCTGCCACTCCTCCCCCCCGGCCGATGCAGCCCCAGGCTCAGGAGGAGGAGGAGACGCGGCTGCCGCTGCAGCAGCTCCTGACGACGACGCCGAAGAAGCAGCCCCGGGCGACATCTGCAAGGCGATCAGGGTGTTCATTTGCGCCTGCAGCATCTCGACCTGATGCTGGAGCTCCTGCTGCGTCATCGTCGCTGCCGGCGCTGCTGCGCCCGCAGACGACGACGACGGGCGCCCTGGCGTCGGCGGCGTCGTCGCCATGGCGTAGCGCCCAGGAGGAGGAGGCACCTTCGGCTGCTGAGGCTGCAGCGGGATCGCCGTCGCCGCCGCCGCCTTCGCAGTCTGGGCCGATGCAGCCGAGGCGGCGGCCACCGACCCCCTGGCGGGCGGCGCGGCGGCGAGGTGGGTCGGCGGCGGCACCAACGGCGGCGACGCCGCCTTCTTGGCCACCAGCAGCTTCGGCGCTGCCTTCTTCGGCGGTGGAGTGGACGCCGCCGACCTCGGCGGCGTCACGGGCCGCCCGCCTCCTCCGCCTCCTCGGGGGCGACGACCGCCAGCACCATCTGGGCGATTGTCGTCGTCGCCGTCGATGATGTCGCCGTCGTCGTCGAGCTCCTCCGTCGGCGGGCGACGGCGCACCCTGCTGGAGCGGCGCCGGCACTGCTCGATCAACTGCTCTGGCGTCTTGTCGGTCGGCGCGGGGCGATGAGGCGGCCCGAGCTGCGCCAGCTGGTCCCAGATGTCCATGTTCGGCAGGCCGAAGTAGTCCGCGACCTTCCATGGGCTAGCGGATTGTTATTATTATTAGTTGCGAGCCTCAGTGGGGAGGGCGCTCCAAAAAAGAAGAGGGGAATCCCCGACAACGACGAAGAACGACAAACGAACGACAACGACAGACGACGACGACGACGACGACGACGACGACGATGAAGATCACCGAGCTACAAAACACATACCCACCCTGACGCCCCCTCCAATAACAATAATGCGCCAGCCACCTCCCAGAACGTGCTCATCGCGAGCAGCAAGTCGTCGTCGTCGGGGTCCCACTTAGACCCAGCGGCCCTGACGCCCGTGTACTGGATGACGGCGTTGATGGTGTTGGCCTGCTGCTGGCCAGCCTCGTGGATGACGCTCCACAGGCACTCGAGGTCGTTGTCGATCATGTGCGTCAAGACCACGCGGTCGTCAGCGCACTTAGCGCCTTTCCCATCAGGCCCGCTCTTCTGCTTGGTCAGGTGGACGTTCATCTGCCTTAGCCCCATCTCGAACAGACCTGTGCTCCTGATCAGCCGCACGACCCAAGCCTCCACCTGGCCCAACCTATGATGGCGAGAATGCCACGTGCCACGGTTAGTGCGACTGATGAAGTGGAAGTCACGCAGGCCGAACTCAGCCGCATAGAGAACCGCAAAAGGCCAGAACCCGTGCTCCACAGCCATATAGATGTCATCGCCTTTGGGGGCGCGCAGGCTCATGGCGCGCCCCGCGGAGGCGCCGCGGCGAATCTGGCGGCGGGCTGGGCGCCACCGCCAGGCCGCCGCGGCGCCGCCTCCGAGTGCGCCATGCGCTTGCACACCTGGCAGAACCTTCCAGACGACCACCCTGGCCGTCGTCGCCCTCCCCAGACGCGACGCCCCCCGCGTCGACGCCCAGCACGGGCATGGCAGCGGCGGCGGCGGTCGGCGGCCGATGCGGGCCGCTGCTGTGTGGGGAGAGGACAGGAGCGGAGCCCGCTCCCAGCACTCAGCCAAAATGGCTGTTTGTTACGGTGCAACGTGCTGCCCGCCCTCTTTCCCCCTTTTCTTCTTCCCCCTGGGGGGTTGCTGGCTCTCCCCCGCCGTTCGTGAGCTTAAAAGCTGTTTCGGCCGTGCCCCCCCATGACCGTCGTTTCGGGCTGCGTCCAGCTGGGGCGACGACGAGGAGGCCCCCCTCCGAAAGCCAGAACTCCCAAAATCTCGATCCGCCAGGGCCGAGGCTCGAGCGCCGCCGCGCTGGCTGAAGAAGGGCGCTGTTGATATATATATATATATATATATATATATATATATATATATATTCCCCGCGCAGCTGGAGGTCCCTGGAGGTCCCTGGAGGTCGCCGGATGTCCCTGGATGTCCCTGGAGGCCCCCGGCAGCAAAGGCCTCTGGAGGCCTGGAAACGTCAGAGAAATGTAGGAAGGCATCCTCGGACGTCAGAGCGGGGGAGGCGCAGAAGAAGCGGGCATCCTCGGACGTCAGAGCGGGCATCTTCGGACGACGGCGAGGAGAAAGCGGGGGAGGCGCAGACGGAAGTGGCGGAGGCACGAATGCCGATGAATGGAATCAGGACGATGGCGGAGGGAGGAAGGAGACATCATGGTGAAGTTGTTCGGGAGGGGGGAGGAGGAAGAAGAGGAGGGGGATGATGAGGACGACGACGACGGGGAGGAGGGGGCCAGGAGAAAAAAAAAAAAAAAAAAAAAAAAAAAAAAAAAAAAAAAAAAAAAAAAAAAAAAAAAAAAAAAAAAAAAAAAAAAAAAAAAAAAAAAAAAAAGGAATGGGCGGAGGACAAGGACAGGAGGAGCGCCCTCCCTTCCGCGCGCGCCGCCCAAGTGCACCGCCGTCGCCGTTGCCGTCGACGTCTCGCCGCCGCCACCGCCGCCGCCGCCGCCGGCCGAAACGACCAGCAGGGGAGCGCGGCCGAAACAGCCGCCGCCGCCGCCGTCGCCGCTCCATCGTCGTCGCGTCGTGTTCTTTCTCTCTGTCCCTGCCCCCCCCGAGGACGAGCACATACTGTCGAATTCTTGACGCTTCTGTTTGATCATCTAATAGCCTTCGGCCCACCTGAATGATGATGAATACTGACCCTGATGATGATGGCGATGATGATGATGATGCTGATGATGATGATGATGATGTGTGCCCTCGCGGGCGCGAACGATTCCCCGTCCGTCCGTCGGCCTCCTTAGCCACAGACATGTTCGATTCAGTTTTTGGAATCACATGTCGACTTTTCTATTGTGGACAATACAGAACTCCCCAACTTCCGTCGGCCTCTTTAAAGGGCCACAGAAATTTCAAATTCAGTTTTCGGAATCACATGTCGATTTTTCTATTGTGGACAATACAAAACTCCAAAACAAATCCAAATTCAGTTTTTGGAATCACATGTCGACTCTTCTATTGTGGACAATACAGAGGGTGACCCGCGCGGGGTCGGGTCACCCCAAATCCCGTCGGTCACCTTAAGGTGACCGACAGGATTTCGGGTGACCCGACCCCGCGCGGGTCACCCTCTGTATTGTGGACAATTCAGAACTCCGACGCGCGCGCGCGTGGGATTTCTGCATTGTCCACAATAGGAAAGTCGACATGTGATTCCAAAAACTGAATTTGAAATTTCTGTGGCCCTTTAAGGAGGCCGACGGATGTTGCGGAGTTCTGTATTGTCCACAATAGAAGAGTCGACATGTGATTCCAAAAACTGATTTTGACATTTCTGCGGCCCTTTAAGGAGGCCGACGGATGTCGGGGAGTTCTGTATTGTCCACAATAGAAAAGTCGACATGTG